AAAGAGAGAAACAGAGAGAGAGAGAGAGAGAGAGAGAGAGAGAGACACCTTTTTAGGACTGGAGAAATGACCGAGTGCTTAAGAGTACTTGCCACTCTTCCAGAGTACCAGAATTTGGTTTCAAGCAAGAAAACCAACCACCACAGTTACATAGTGAGTACTAATTCAAAAAACAAAAATGAATATTTTTGCACATAATTAATCCTATTCCAGGTTTGTTTCTCTTACTATAGTTTCTCAAATTAGGTAAATAGAATTTTCAGTTATTTAATTTTTTTGGAAATGTGTCAACAGAATGTTGGTCATCTGAAAAATACATTTTACTTGAAAAGATCCAGGGTTATTCATGACTCCCATTGAAGTTACTGGCTACTGTCAAAGACAGCTTTAAATCACAAATTCCAAGGGACTTATTTGCTATACAGATATCCTACCTTGAGAGAAAGAACAAGCACCGTCACTGTTCTGGTAGACATTAGGGTCCTGTCCTTGGGACCCACCTGCTTCCTGACTTTGTTCGGGAAGGCAGTCTTTAGGCCCATCACTGTTCTCACAGGTCTTGATAGAGAGGTCTTCAGGTCCAGGCATTTCGTGGCAGGATTCAGGTGAATGGTTCTCAAGCCTAGGTGATGGTTGACATGTCTCAGGGGAATGGTCTTCAGCCCCAGGTGATGGTTGACACTTCTCAGGGGAATAGTCTTCAGGCCCGGGTGATGGTTGGCATATCTCAGGTGAGTATTCTACAGGCCCAGGTGATGGTTGACATGTCTCAAGGGAATAGTCTTCAGGCCCAGGTGATGGTTGACATGTCTCAGGGGAATAGTCTTCAGGCCCAGGTGATGGTTGGCATATCTCAGGTGAGTATTCTACAGGCCCAGGTGATGGTTGACATGTCTCAAGGGAATAGTCTTCAGGCCCAGGTGATGGTTGACATGTCTCAGGGGTCTCTCTCTCTCTCTCTCTCTCTCTCTCTCTCTCTCTCAGTGAGTATTCTACAGGTCCAAGTGAATCTTGGGTTGTTTTATGAGAGGAGACTGTAGGCTCAGTGAGTTTGTGGGTCTCATGAGACATGAATTCAGTTTCAATTGCTTCTTGGTGTATTTTTGTAGAAATATCTTCAGACACAGTGCATTCTCGTGTCTTGGGAAAGCAGCCTTCAGTCACAGCCATTCCCTGGTCTTCTTGGGAAATAGTTTTGTCTGGTGTAACTGATTTGGGGCATGTGTCAAGTGGACAGACTTCAGGCACATCTGACTGGGGGAGTACTTCAGGAGAGCATCCTTCTGGGCCAGCAGCATCTCCAAGTGTTGTCCAGGGAACAATAGCCATCTCTTGGTGTGTTTTAGGAGCGAGAACTTCAGGTCTGGCCATATCTTCGAACATTTTCAAAGTATGTTCCTGAAGCACAGCTGTTTCCTGGCACACTTCAGGAGAGAGTGCCTTGGGTCCAGCCACATCTTGGGGTGCTTTGGAAAAATGGTTTTCCGGCACAGCTGTTTCCTGGCACACTTCAGGAGAGAGAACCTCGGGCCCAGCCATATCTTGGGGTGCTTTAGAAGAATGGTTTAGGGGCAGAGCTGTTTCCTGGCACATTTCAGAAGAAAGTGTCTCAGGTTCAGCCGTGTCTCTGCACATTTGAGAACAATGTTGAAGTACAGCTATTTCTTGGCACATGTTAGGAGAGAGGTCTTCAGGTTTGGCCCTACGTTTGGGTGCTTGAGGATGGTTCTGTATTGCTATGCCCTGGCACTGAATGCTTTCTTGGTGTGCTTCAGCACAGTGTTCTGCAGGCTCGGCTTCTGGGGGGAAGGCCAACAAAGGGAGGGCTTCAGTCACAGGGTTGACAGGGCACTCGGTTTCTTTCCCTGAAGGTACCAATACTTTCTGCATCCTTTGCTTTCTTGTTTGTGACTGAGGCTCTGCCTTGGCCTCTGTGATTCGTCGTCTCTTTTGGCCTCTTGGATTTCCTTTTCCTGTTCTCTGATACCTGCGTTTTTTCTGTTCTCTGCAGAGAGACCAGAAATAATGTCAGCAACAGGGCTACAGGGTCCAAATGAATGCTTCCAATACCCACCCCTGTTCTTGTGACCTTGTTACATGACCTTAAATAAGCCCTTACTCTCCCATACCTCAATTTCCAAAAGAGTTTGCAAAATGAACAGTCCTAGGTGTTCAACTTGCTTGGAAAGGGTTCCTGTAGATGTTTTGGTTTTAAAGCTAAAGTGTGTATGTGAAAGTGTATGTGTATGAGAGAGAGAAATGGAGTGATGAGGGAAGGGGGAGGGGAAGAGAAAGAGCCTGCTTGGGGAGATAGTTTCAAGGGTAAAGGGCTTAACTGAGTTCTATCTATCTTCAGCACCCAGGTCAAAATATAGAGTGTGTGGTGCCATAAGTTTGTGATCTCAGAGCTGAAGAGGCAGAGATCCCTGGATCTTCCCGGCCAGCTAGCTAAACCTAACTGTAAACTCCAGGCCAATGAAAGACCCTGTCTTACAGGAGGAGGTGGATGGTGTTCCTGAAGATGACACATGAGGTTGTCTTCTGGCTCTCTCTCTCTCCCTCTTTCCCTCTCTCCCTCTCTCCCTCTCTCCCTCTCTCCCTCTCCCTCTCCCTCTCTCTCTCTCTCTCTCTCTCTCTCTCTCTCTCTCTCACACACACACACACACACATAAATGCATGTACCTGCACATATACATGCATTAATATAAAGGAGGGAGTGTGTTAACAGAACCTAAGAATGTCTCAAAAAGCCTATGGACACCCACTGCTTGACAAGCTAACTAAAATTTCAATTAGGACTGAGGAGGTGGCTCAATGCTTATGGCCAAACCTGATCACCTGAATTCATTCCCAGGATCCATGTGGTGAGAGGAGAGAACTGACTCCCACAAGTTGTCCTCTGACTTCTACATGTGTGGATGCACCCACACACTCACACATTAAATAAATGCAACTTAAAATATAACTTTAAAAACTAGAGTTTGGATGCAGAGATAGCTGAACAGTTAAAAAGTACATACTATTGCTAAGGACTCAAATTCGGTTCCCACCGGACAGTGGTAGTGCACGCCTTTATTCCCAGCACTCGGGAGGCAGAGGCAGGCGGATCTCTGTGAGTTCCAGACCAGCCTGGTCTAAAAGAGTTGGTTCCATGACAGCCTCCAAAGCCGCAGAGAAACCCTGTCTTGACAAAACAAAACAAAACAAACAAAAATAGGTTCCCAGCATCCCCATGGGACAAACAACTGCCTATAATGCTAGCTCCAGGGGGATCCCATGTACCTCTGGCCTCTGGGTGCATCTGCCCTCATGTGCATACACACACACACACACACACACACACACACACACACACACCACAGTTTTTAAAATAATAATCATTCTTTAAATATAAAACAAAGCCAGTGAGATGGCTCAATGGGTAAAGGCATTTGCCACCAAGCCTGATTTATCCCTGGGACCCACCTGGTGAACATAAGAACCAACTACCAGCCAGAGAGAAGTTCAGTGGTTAAGGGTATGTCTACACATGCAAATAAAACACTCATACAGATAAAATGACTTGACTAGGGCAAGTCATTCAACCTCTCCATTTCTTGGCTACCTTCTAGGTGAGATGAGATAAATTATACCTTCCAATTTCATGTGGTGGCTGTAAGAATCACATACAACTTAGGTGACTGGATCACAAGCCCAGTATAAAACAGAACTATGATATTACTATGGGAGCCATCTGTGTCTTGCCTATGTCCTGGCACTATTGTGATTTACTTCAGTTAACTCAAGCTATGAGGTAGATGCTATTATCTCCAGTGTGCAGAGGACAAAACAGAGGTGCCATGAGATGTTCCATAAATTGCCCAAGGTCAATAACTAGGAAGTTGGGGCATTAGGCTAATCAGTTTTGCTTATCATTAGACTAATCATTTTGCCTAATTTTAATGTGCATGGATGCTTTGCCTGAATCTACATCTATACCACGTGGGTTCTGGTATCTCTCTTGACTGCTGAGCCCCCTGTTTTTTTGTGTGTCGATAAATGTTCTCACTAATCCCTGTGAGGCCTACAACTTACAATGTCCAACCACCACTCTCCTGATTGTTAGGATCAGTATGCACTACCAAGTCAGGTCTTATGGACCTTTTTTTTAACACTAACAAAACCAATGAAGGGTAGCAGGAGCTACTCTGGACAGTCCAGCTTCAATGTCTGGAGCCAGCCTCAGGGGATGGTGGAAACAGAGAAAGAGAGCAGGGGAAGTTTCTTTTGTTGTTACTTCTGCTGTGACATTAGGCAAGAGAGTTAACCCACTGAAGACTACTTTAAAAACAAACAGCAACAAAAAAATAAAACATGCAAGCACAACACCACCTGACTTATAGGACACTTGGGAAGGTGGTGTGAGCGTGGGCATGGACATGCAACATCCACACTCATCCCTCTCTCAGGTAAGGGACCTACCCAAGGAGCCATTGTGATGTCTGTTTCTCCTGCACTTCAGCTTTTCTCTTCCTGAGTTCTTCTCTGTTTCTCAAACTCCAATTTCCAATGACTTCTGCTGGGTAAAAATGAAAGTTACTGGGGAGTGTGACCTCAGCAAGTATCCAACCACAGAAGTTTTATTTATAGATTTTTTTAAAAGATTTTATTTATTAATTATATATACAACATTCTGCTTCCATGTATATCTGCACAGCAGAAGAGGGCACCAGATCTCATAACAGATGGTTGTGAGCCACCATGTGGTTGCTGGGATAGAGATAGTTAGAAGCTGCTGTGTGGGTACAGGGGATTGAACCCAGGTTCTCTGGAAGATCAACAAGAGCTCTTAACTGCTGAGCCACCTCTCCAGCCTCCAACAGAATTTTAGACCCCCATCCTGGTTTTTGCCCTGATTTTTGAGATCAAGGACTATGTCTTCCTTATTCTTGCACCTTCAGAGATGTGAAAGAGATTTCTTTTCTTTTTTTTTTTTTTTTTTTTTTTTTTTTTTTTTTTTT